CTGAATCATTCAGCTCACGCTCACCCTGTGTCTTAGTAATTTTGCTAGCAAGACCATTTTTCCTTCTATCAATGTTGCCAAAAACTTCTTTATTCCACACTTTGATATTCGGTATTATCCTTTGAAGCATATATAAGAAATCAAAATCATGATCCCACTTTGCTTTCAGAAATTCATTAAAGGAATGATGTTACTGCCAAACAGCAAAGAAACGAAAAGGCCTCATGCTACTATCTCTGGCATCTTCAAAAGCTTGATAAGAAGAAGATTATGATCAAATAATAAACGAGGAAGAGCATAGACTCTAGCTTCCTCAAACATAACTCTCCAATCTAGATTTGCCACCACTCTATCTAGCCTTTTAAAAATTCTATCTAGATTAGCCCATTTTGGACCCTGCCAAGTAAATAGCGAACCATCACAACCCATATCAGCTACTTTACAGTCTTAAAGAACTTGAGCAAATTTAGCACACCTTGATGAATCAGCCCTGACTCATCCTTTTTTTTCATGTGTAAATGCAATTTCATTAAGATCTTCTCCTAGCATCCATGGTTCAGAAATAGAGGCACTAAGATTGCGCAAATCATTCCATAGATTTTCTCTCAATGCTTGAGAAGGGCTAGCATAAATAGCTGTAAAATAAAAGAACTGGCCCGAAGGTATCATACTCTCGTATATTAATAAATATGATCATGTCATAAGGAAAGACCTCAATCATGTAAGGATAGATCAATGATAATAATGAAAAAGAGAAAAAAAAATATAGGAATAAATTTTGAGATCAGAATAAATTATAAGTACATGTATAATATAAGGGAAAAGTGTGTATCCTTTTAAAGGATACACACTTATATTCTTTTAAGAGAGATAAAAGAACAAATTTGGGTAAGAGAGTGGAGGGAAAAATTTATAATTTAAAATTTGAAAAAACACACTAGATTCATCTAAAAGACCATCCTTTTAAATGACAAACAATAAACCCATAATATAAACCACAATGTTGTTAAAATTCATCCCTTGATTTTAGAATATTATGACTCTTCGTTTTATTTCAATGTTCATAAGCGAACTACTTATTTTAGAAAAACCAAATTCAAAATGGGGCTACATTGGGATAATTGAAAGTGTAATATAATATTTTCCAAAAAAAAAATGTAATATAAACTTAATCTTATAATATATAAAATATAATTTTTAACTGACAAATCAAGCCATTTTTTTACACCAGTAAAATAAAATAAATAAATCAAGCCATTTTTAGTTTGAACAAGGGTCTTGCAATTATTATAAGTCAGATGTAAGACAAACAAAGCCTTTATATATAAGCATCACAATAATAAGCTGGTGTCATCGAGAATATGTTTACATAAGCACTTTTAATAAAAAAAAAAGGTAATATTAACTTATATTTGTATAGAATAACAAATCTCATACTCAATTTTATGATTCACATTATTAATAAATTAAAGCTGTTGAATACAAGTGAAATCAATAATTAAATTTGAAAGTGTAACTTAGAGTGACACAAGATATTATCGCCAAAAATTTGTATTAAATTTAACAGTTTATCTTTATAATTAAATTAGATTATATGTTTTTTTAAGAATGGTTTATACTTTATAGTATATTTTATTTTTAATTTCGTTTTTAATTTTTATGTTTTCACCAATATTATAAAAAAAATCACATTATTTTCATTTTAATATGTGAATTTTTTGAAATTATCAGTAAAAATATATCAACTAAAACAAGAGAAAACTAAACACTTCTTTAACCTCTTAATCTATTCTCTTTTAATGAATAATATATGTCATTATTAATTTTTACATTTTCAAACTTTAAATTAATATAAATTAGTTATGCATATGTTTTTAATTTTTAAAACTATATTTTTAATTTTTTTAAAATTTTAAAATATCTATATAATACAAGAGATATACTTGTTAGTTTTTTTATTTTATTTTTTTGTAAATTACTTGTTAGTTTAAGAGTAAATACCCTTTTTAGTCCATGACAATATCCACGAAGCCCTTTTCAGTTCCTAGCAATAAAAAAGGGACAAATTGATCTCTGAAATAACAAAAAAGAGGCCACGTTCATCCTTCTGTTAACTCCCACCTAACAGCCCAACTAACGGTGCACAATTGGCACGTTAGTTTACTGACGCAGCTTGGATGTGGGACACCGTGGAAGACGAGACGACGACGTTTTGGTCCCTGTCAAAACCACGAGGGCCATTTTGGTCCCTGTCAAAATGCACGAGGACTTTTTTAGTCCCTGACAAAAAGCACGAGGCCCTTATTGGTCCCTAACCAGAGAAAAATAGGCACATGACTTCATTCCTTTTCTATGCAGTCCAATTTTACAAAACAGAAGTGCATTACATCAACAGGAGTGCAATCCATTTGTTCATCACAAAGTAATTAAACTAAATTTCATCACAAAGTAAAATACTCCTTCTTGGCATTTTATTTCAATGAAATTTGTGTTTCTAACTGAAGTTTCGACCTTATTAACGATTATTCATTTCTTTTTCAATGCTAATTAAGATTCCCATTTTGTTAAAAGGGATTCTTAGCTCTTGCAAACAGCTTTTACAATCCCTAGAATACTATGAACTACTTTAATTCTCTTAGTCTGTATAAGACATAGCGTTATGCGATTTACAAACAATATCTTCAGTAGTGTAGCGTTACAATTATACTATTTATTTTTCTATAAAAGATAATTGCATGATTGTTGATATTTAAATACAGAGAAAACTCAGAGCAGAAGCCAGGTAAATGATTGTTGATAATTGCAATGCATGGCAGTTGACTGGACTGCAACAGTTGGTAGTTCTCAGCCACATGAAGGCAACCTAAGAGGAAGCATCCCACCTCCATCAAATCCACAACAGGCAAATGAGCTGTTGAGTAATGAAACAATGAATGCAGCAACCAGTGGCACAAGAAGCAGATTATTGGCCTTCATGAGCAGACCTGGTTTTAGGCCACCAAGGCCTGCCTCAAGAAAATGACTTGCTGCTGTATATGACCTAGTAGTAGTGCATGAGCCAACTGAGAAGGGTTTATTATTATGTGACTGGCTTTTTTTGAAAATTCTGGCCATTATGTATTTGGAGGCCTTATTATGTCAATGTTTTTTTTGTAAATTCTGGCTATATTGTATTAGAGGCCTTTCTTTTAATTCCTGACAGTTGGCTTTATTTTGTAATGCGCTACTGTACATCCATGTCTTCAAATTTAATGATACTCAAATCATGTTCCATCTATTATGTTTCACAGGGTTGATGAATGTTTAAGTTTACCATTTTTGATGTTTTTTAACTAATATACTAGTTGTAGTTCTTGTACATCCATGTCTTCTGGTTTAACAAATTGGACTGCATACAAATCCAATTTAATGTCATGTTCCTGTTTCGCAAAATTGGATTGCACTACTGTTTCTGATGTAATGCACTTGTGTTTTGCAAAATTGGACTGCATAGAAAAGCAATGAAATCATGTGCCTATTTTTTTCTGGTTAGGGACCAATAAGGGCCCTGTGCTTTTTGTCAGGGACTAAAAACGTCCTCATGCATTTTGACAGGGAGCAAAATGGCCCTCGTGGTTTTGACAGGGACCAAAACGTCGTCGTCTCGTCTTCCACGGTGTCCCACATCCAAGCCGCGTCAGCAAATTAACGTGCCAACTTTGCACCGTTAGTTGGGTCGTTAGGTGAGAGTTAACAGAATGATGAACGTGACCTCTTTTTTGTTATTTCAGGGACCAATTTGTCCCTTGTTTATTGCTAAGAACTAAAAAATGTTTCATAAATATTGGCAGAGACTAAAAAAAATATTTATTCTTAGTTTAATTTGAGAGAAGCTCGTATAACTTTTGTAATATTTTTCGTGTGATATATGGGGAACTTCTCAACAGCACACTCATGCTTCGAGTCCTAGTCAAACACTGGTCAAAGACATGGTATGGAATTTTATTAAATTCCTAGGTTAACATTCTGGCTATTTTCACGTGTACAAGAAGTCACAAAAGGAAAGCCGAGTCATAAAAATAAATAAATACATATATAAATCTCGCAACAAAGACAAATCGTCCCAATTCAAAATAAAATTAGAGAATACGTAAAAACTATCTTTATGTAACAGATTAAAAAAAAATTGAAAGTAATTTAATTTCTGAACTTAATATTGTTTACAGAAACTTGACCCATATTATTATTAATTTAAAAATTTTAAATTACGATATTAAATTCTTTCAAATTAATTAATTATTTTTTATAATTTTAATAAATTTTCATTTGATATATTATTTATGTCTTATTTACTTTTTCTATCTTCATAATCTTTAATTAATTTTTTTTAATTTACTTAAATTTAAAAATACTCCCAGAATATACTAAATATTTACTAATAAAATGAAAAAAAATGAAAGAAAGAAACGGACAAACCCACCAATACGTAGACCCACAAAAACAAAAGGAAAATCAAAATAAAATAACAAAGAGAGATCCTGAAAACCGATGGGATAAAACAAAGCTACAGAACGTGAAACGGATGTCAAAACTCGAAACTAAGTGAGTTGCCCGTGCGCGTGAAGCCCACTCCCCAAATCAGTGGCAACAGGGAAGTGACCAGCTCTCGGTTCCGTACGTAACTACGTTGGACTAGTAACTGTTGTTATTCCAGCGTTACCTCGTTGCAGAGGTTCCCATCAGAGTCCCTGAAGCATGTTCCCCACGCGCACATAGTCTCCGCGTGAAGGCGCGTTAACTTTTCTCAGACCAGAGGGAGCTTGTTGTATCTCGTTCTCCCTTTCAGACTCATTTGCCTTGCTATTTCTGGTACTCTGCCCCGTTTTTTCTTCTTTCTTCTTTCTTCTTTAACAAAGAAAATCTCTCAGATTTCGCAGAAATGGTACGTCTTTGAAATAAATACAACCCTTTTTTCCTCCTTAGTTTCACATAAAAAGTCTTTTTAACAGATCGCAGCTCCTTTCCATGGCAACCAATAGAAAATTCAAATTCCGGCCACCACTACCACCTACTTTCCCCGACTAAATGCACGAAATTCGATGTCCTTTCATTGCTACCATCGAAGGCCAAAGCGATGACGATGATGACGACGAAGAATACGTAATCAAATAAAGCGTTCTTAAAGAAAACAGGAGTTTCCAATTTTTTTTATCATCACACTCACACCCCCATAACACTTTTGCTTCCTTCACTTCCCACTTCTTGCAATGGCGGGGACAACACCGTCTGGGGACTCAGCTTCAGCCGATGAGCTTACAGCAAAAGCTGTTCACAAGCGCTACGAAGGGTTGGTCATGGTTCGAAACAAAGCTATAAAGGGTAAAGGGGCTTGGTACTGGACGCACCTTGAGCCCATGTTGATTCCCAACACTGATACGGGGCTACCCAAAGCTGTGAAACTCAAGTGCTCTCTATGCGATGCTGTCTTCTCCGCTTCCAATCCTTCTCGTACCGCTACTGAGCATCTAAAGCGTGGAACTTGCCCCAATTTCAATTCTGCAGTTAAACCCATTTCCTCTGTCTCCCCCTCCGCCGCTGCTATGGTATCGTCGCCTTCTTCTCCGGCCAACAACAACCACCGCAAGAGAAGTTCGGGTTCGGCTGCTGCGGGCCCCGCTTCGTCTTACCATGTTCCACCGCTGGCTGCGGTGGATCCGTCGCGATTTGTTGGGGAACTCGCGGGTTTGTTGCCACAGCAACCGCATTTGATGCTATCGGGGGGGAAGGAAGATTTGGGAGCTTTGGCTATGTTGGAAGACAGTGTGAAGAAGCTGAAAAGTCCAAAAACTTCACCGGGGCCAACACTTAGCAAGACCCAAGTTGATAGTGCTTTTGATTATCTTGCTGATTGGGTGTACGAGTCTTGTGGGTCGGTGTCTTTCTCCTGTCTGGAGCATCCAAAGTTCAGAGCTTTCCTTAACCAGGTTGGTTTGCCAACAGTATCTAGCAGAGAATTCACGGGTGCTAGATTGGATGCCAAATTTGAGGAAGCCAAGGCAGACTCAGAAGCACGAATCAGAGATGCTATGTTCTTTCAGATAGCCTCCGACGGGTGGAAAACCAAGAATTACGGTGAAGAAAAACTGGTTAATATGACTGTAAATCTTCCCAATGGGACCGGTTTGTACAGAAGGGCTGTTTTCGTTACCGGTTCTGCTCCTTCTAATTATGCAGAGGATGTTTTGTGGGAGACAATCACTGGCATTTGTGGGAATGTCGTGCAACAATGTGTTGGGATAGTTGCGGACAAGTTTACGGCCAAGGCTTTGAAAAACTTGGAGAATCAGAATCATTGGATGGTTAATCTTTCTTGTCAGTATCAAGGCTTCAATAGTTTAATCAAGGACTTCAGCAAGGAGCTCCCGTTGTTTAGCACCGTCACTGAGAATTGTCTTAAGCTTGCAAATTTTGTCAACTACAAATCTCAAGTTCGGAATAGTTTTCACGAGTACCAAATGCAAGAGTACGGTCACGCATGGTTACTCCGAATACCATTCCGAGGTTTTGAGGATTTTGAATTCGGGCCTGTGTATACATTGATGGAGGATACGTTGGGTTCGGTTCGTGCGTTGCAGTTGGTTCTTCTTGATGAACTGTTCAAAATGGCCTCCATTGAAGACCCGAACGCGAGAGAAGTTGGGGATATAATTCGAGATGTGGGTTTTTGGAATGATTTGGAGGCAGTGCACTCGTTGGTTAAATTGGTGAAGGACATGGCTCAGGAGATTGAGATAGAAAGGCCACTTGTTGGGCAATGCCTTCCTTTGTGGGATGAGTTAAGAGCAAAAGTGAAGGATTGGCGCTCCAAATTCCATGTTGCAGAAGAAGGAGCAGTTGAAAAAGTTATCGAAAGAAGGTTCAAGAAAAATTACCACCCTGCTTGGTCTGCTGCTTACATTCTTGACCCTCTTTATTTAGTTAGGGACACTAGCGGCAAGTACCTTCCACCGTTTAAGTACTTGACGCCGGAACAGGAGAAGGATGTGGACAAGCTCATAACAAGACTTGTTTCGAGAGATGAGGCCCATATTGTTCTAATGGAGCTCATGAAATGGAGAACAGAAGGGCTTGATCCTGTGTATGCGCGAGCTGTGCAGATGAAGCAGAGAGATCCTGTTACTGGGAAGATGAGAATCGTCAATCCACAAAGCAGTAGACTTGTGTGGGAAACTTATCTCTCACAATTTAAGTCCTTAGGAAGAGTTGCAGCTAGGCTTATATTCCTTCATGCAACCTCACGTGGCTTCAAATGCAATTGGTCTTTGTGGAGATGGGTGTGTGCCCATGGACACTCCAGGACAGCACTTGACAGGGCGCAAAAGTTGACATTTATTGCAGCTCATTCCAAACTGGAGAGACGGGATTTTTCCAGTGATGAAGATAAGGACGCAGAGCTGTTTAACTCGGCTAGTGTTGAGGATGATGTGTTAAACGAGGTTTTTGTGGATACATCCTCAGTGTAACTTTTTTTTTTCTTTTTTCTTTTTTCTTTTCTTGGGAGGGGTTAATCACTTAGGAATTTTAATTTTTAGGATTTATTGAATTCTTTTCCACTACCCTCTTCTTTTTTCTTGTGCCTTCTTCGATCCTCTTTGTTTTTTTTTTAGAGCTTTACTCACTCGGGGGATTTTGTGGCAGTTCATAGGTGATTGAATTTTGTATTACTGCTGCTCGGACTCGTGATTCGAGCAATTTCCCATCGTTCACCAGAGCATGATATATTTTTAAGTGGTTAACTAAATATGCAGGGAAAGGATATCTTCTTGTTTGTAAAGCTAGAGAAAAGTGCATGACCAATTACAGAACGGGAAGAGTGGTGTGGAAATTTGTATGTTTTTGTAGTAACTTATGATTTAATAATATTTGTAAAGGGGAAGTTTTTATCAGTTCTCCTTTAGTTCTAAGATCTGAGTCTCCGATCAAACTTCCTCACCAGTTTTGGAAAGAAAAATCAGGAGGGAGCGAGGCAACATTTTATTGTTATTTTCAGCAGGAGTGAAGTGGCAAAAACAGTGTTGTTCTCTCTCGCTTACATCTTTCGCTAAAAGATGCAATTATTCTATAGGAATGCATTTTTCAAATATGGGTAACCTTTGGCGTTAGAAATCGTCTTAATGGAATATGGCAAATTGGTAATAGAAATTGTGTTTGTTTATATAGAATGTGGAAAGACATATGATGCAATCGTAAAATCTGGGGAGTTGCTCGGCTTTCAATCACTCCTACATTGATGAATTCTTTTTCACTCCAAAGGCAATCAGCTTTCTGTCTAAAGTCAAAGTCGCGCATAAATCATCCCAAGACGTCAAATATGCAACTTTACAAATGGCCACTTGTTTTGAAGTTCAATCACGACGTTGATTCCTTAATAAGCTGAGTGTCGAGAGTGTTGTCAGCAGAATATAAGGAAGGCACCCAAGTGTTCCTTGTTTGTTAGCTAAAGCTGTCATGGACTTATAGGTCCCTGTCAACCTCAGTGTTCATGGACTGAGCGGCATCTAATCTTTATGGTTAATTCAAACAAACTTTCCTCAACTCGCCTTTCCGTTGTTGAGCTCTTAAAATAAGCAGCAAAACACAGTTTTGTACTTAGGGTTAGTTTCTCGTGTTATAAGCAATAAATTTATCTCTTACATTACATAAAAGTGTGTGAAGTTCATACATTTTTTTTTCTTTTTTTTTTACATGTGTCCCACACATTTTTATGTCTATGTAATAGATAAATTTATCTCGTGAGGAAAAATAAACCCTTTGTACTTTTTTAGAATATTTGCATTAGTGTAGAGGCGGAAGACACTAATAATTATTACTACGTTAAATTCATGTATTTGGTGACAGCAGTGGACAATGATATTAGGGTTGGCAAAACGGGCCAACCCGGCCCAACCCGCATTCAGCCCGAAAAAATGGGTCGGGTCGGGTTGGCTCGAAAAAAAAAACGAGCCAGAAAATCCAACCCGGCTCGACCCGAGCCGGGTTAGGGTTGGCTCGCGGGTTGGCTCGATAATCAGCTCGCGGGTTGGCTCGTAAAAAAGCTCACGGGTTGGCTCAAAAAAAGCTCGCGAGTCAGCTCGAAATGATGCTAGTGGGTTGGCTCGCGGGTTGGTTAGCTCAAAATATTGGCTAGCGGGTTGGCTCAAAAAATTTAATTTTTGTGGTTTGTTTTCCTGTATAAAATTATTGTATTTTGCAGTCCAACTACAAGTAGAGTAGTTTACAAAATCCAAAAACATTATTAAATGAAACAAAAACCACTCCACGAATCACAAGAGTCATTTATCATGATTTTTTGAATTACTCTAACTCACGATAACCATAAAACGTATGTAAAGCCAAAAAATAAAAAATAAAAGAAGTCCATCAGTGGAGAATCCATCAGTAAAGTCCATTGTATTAAAAAAAAAAAAAAAAAAGAGTAACCCGCGAGCTGGCTCGTTCAACCCGCGAGCTGGCTCGTTTGAGCTCGGGTTGGCTCGGGTCGGGCTAAATCGAGCTGACAGCTCATTTTTGCCAACCCAACCCGGCTCGTTTTGTGCGGGTTACGAGCCAACCCGACGGGTTGGCTCATTTTTGCCATCCCTAAATGATATCATCGAACTGTTAAGGAAGCCATGTAATGGTTGGTTGTTAGTAGAACTTGTTGGACCATAACCTAGGAGGTCATAGTTCACATGCCAAAGTATTCGATGGAGGAATTGACTTGAATTTTTGGGTGTCTTTACTTGTAAAGGCCAGAGACAGTTGGAATGGGTTTAGATTGAAATAGGAACCCAGAGTTCACTGCGGGTCAAGCGTCAAATATATTATTCCTAAACTGGGAGGAGACTAGAGCAAAGGCTTTGATTCTGAAAGGGCATGGCTACCTTAATCTATCCCATCTAGATCTACTGGTCCGAAATCTGAACCCCACCTTGAAACAAGTGGTAGTCTTTTTCCAAGCATTAGTTGTCGTGGATAGATATTAAAGTTTTCTTCAATCAAATAAACTTTGGGTAACTTGTTTCTTAAACATTCCAAAGCTTATGATATTCATCCACGGTCATTGGATGATGCTCCCCATGATTGCGAGAAAGGTGTTGAGAGGACCCGAATGTCGGCATGAAATAGCACAGAAAACGCTGGAGAGATTGATTCTCCAACAAACGAATTTTAACCGACTTCTTTTCTCTTTTTAAAGCTTTTCCCCACTTTACAAATGGTTGTGGGTGTTGTTGAAAGAAAAATTATTATAATCGCTTTATTTGCAAAAGTTCAATATCTTAAACTGCTTCTGAGAACAGCTTGTTGAAGCAGATCAAAGTTGCTTGTAAGTTTGTAATATATTGCAAAACTAGTTAAAACTTCTAATATCAGAGGACTGTTAAATCATTTGAAGTAACAACACAGCTTGTGTAAGTCCTAGAGCAATCAAATTCCGAACTTATAAGTGGAAACAGAGCTTTGATTCAAACACGGAATTAAGCTCAAATTTGACACAATTGAAGATTTTTAAGTTGGAAGGCTCACCCAAAAACTAGCTCGTAAAATAGGAGAACCGAAAGTCCATCAGCCGGGTTGATTGATTTTTTGCACTGGTCTTTTACTAATTTTGGGCGAATAGAGTGGAAGCACGGGTATGTATGGATCAGGTCGGGTCAGTTTTTTGTGCCACCCGACCCAACTTGTTTTTTATAGGTCAGGTTGATCCAATCCGATTTAATTTGATCCAAGTCAGGTCTGACCTAGTTTGAATTTTTTTGAACTAGTTCAGAACCGGGTCGGATCTGACCTGACTTGATTTCTGAAGTGGATTTGACTTGATTTCAAAATCGGGTCAAGTCCGACCAGACCCGTTTTTGACTTGGTTTCAACACATGTTTTTAATTTGATTTTTTTGTATAGTTATTGATTTAAATTTTAAATTAATGTAATTTAATTATTTATTTGTTTTAAAATATATAAATTATATAATAAATTTGATATTTATTGAATAAATAAAGGAATGTAATTTTTTTAACAAAACAAGGTTATTTAATTTTAAAATCCAAATACAACGAGTTACATCAGAGAGAAGATGAACAACAAAATTCAAGAGGAAAAAAAAAATACGATGTAAAAATCATTAAAATAAAATAAAAAACGAAGGAATAGAGAGAAAGAAAATCTAATACTTGTTATGAAAATGAAGGAGGCGATGTTGGAAGGATCAGATAGTTAAATCCAAAGCCAATAATAAAGACCATTATAGCAAAACATGACAGTAATAAGGTATTCATGCATATCATACCATATGGGTTTAAATCAATCAATAAGCTCGGGATTGAGCACAAGAAAAGTCGAGAAGCATAGCTTCAACTGCAATTGCGATTGTGATGGCTGATCCTCTTTGGTGGAGTGAAAGAATGCCGACAGAGAGAAGAGAGAAAAGAGAAGTGAGAACCTTAAAAATGAAAACTGCAATTGTGATTTTTTTTTCACTTAATGGGTATGGGTCAAGTTTTGGGTTAATGGATCAATTATTAAAATAAGTCAGGTCTAAAACTAACCCAAATAAAAGTGGATCACTATTTAAAACTAGTTCAAAAAAGTAGGTATTTATGGGTCAGGTCAAGTGAACCAGTTTTTTTGCACACCCCTAAAGATTCTGATACCAATTGATACGAACCTTGTAAAAATCTTATTCCAAAAGCTAGCTCATTAAATAGGAGAAACTAAAGTTCATATAAACCTTACATTAAACTATCATGTTTTCGATATGGGACTTTAAATTATATACCTTGCAATTGGATAGTAACGTCTATATTATGTTAGAGAGATATAATATAAAACTATTGAAGGTCGATCACTTATAAGTTTAAGCTGTTAGGTGAAATAATTAGGCTCTTTGACCCATTTAGGGTTTTTACCCCTTTAATTTTTATATCTTGTATTTGATTCACGATATTTATCAACGGGGATCGTTGAGTGACACGAGGGGAACCCAGCGTCACCAAGTGCCGCGACCCTCCCCCTGCGTCACTCACACATTTTTTTTTTCAATTTAGTGACGCCCTCCCTCCCCTGGGCACTCATAAGATTGTGTCAAGTGACACAATCTCGTTAGTCCCGTTACCGTAAAACTTCGGAAGGCCATGACTTTTGACTCAGGTATCCAAATCAGATGATTTTTTTTATTTCACATAACTTTTCAAGATCTACGTAATGACACCTCATTTGACATATTTTATCTTCCATTAACATAGTTCAAATTTGCAACAACAGTTCCACATTTTTACAAATTTGAACTATGTTAATAGGAGATAAAATATGTCAAATGAGGTGTCATTACGTAGATCTCGAAAAGTTACGTGAAATAAAAAAAGCATCTGATTTGGATACCCGAGTCAAAAGTTATGGCCTTCCAAAGTTTTACGGTAACGGGACTAACAAGATTGTTTCACTTGGCACAATTTTATGAGTGCCTAGGGGAGGGAGGGCATCACTCAATTGAAAAAAAAAAAAAGAATGTGTGAGTGATGCGGAGGGAATGTCGCGACACTCGGTGGGTGACGCTGGCTCCCCTCGCGTCACTAAACGACCTCCATCGATAAATAACTAGAATCAAATACTAAATATACATTAAAATCTCAAAAAAAAACCCGATGGGTCAGAGAGCCAAAACAATTACTTATCATAGAATTAAATGTTTAATTATCATTATCTCCACTTTCTAATGAAATTAAAACATAAAAATAATAATCTCTCTTACATGAAGAGATGTGTTAAAAAAATACAAAAACCGTTTACGAACCGTTTGGGATTCTGAATATGCTATGTCAATTGACATGAGGTCAAAACTTAATTAAAAGATCAAATGTGCTCTAGTTTTACAATATCGTTTATTTAGTTATTTTCAGCTATAACATACACATGTCAAAACAAATTATGTTAAATGAGCATATGGATATCTCAAGCGTATCAAAGCTTGAATGCTTCGTAGCAAAATTCAAATACTAAAACAGGCTCATTGACATTTTTAAATTTAATTTTTACTATAATCAAGTTTATTAAATTGAGTAAATGTATTCATTAGCTTATTTTCAGAAGTAACCAATAACCAATGAATGACATTTAAACATAAATTCTAACTCGTTTATTTCCTGACAAAAAAGTCATTACTTAGTGTTTATTTTGGACTTCTTATTTTTAATTTATTTTCTCTTTATTAGCAGATAACCAAAAAATTATAATAAAAGAACTTTTTTTTAATAATGAAAAAAAAACTAAAAATTGAAAACTCTTAGAAGGAGCTTTCTTTAAGATGTATATTATTTTTTTGGAATCCTCATATTAATTTTATAATTTTATCCTTATTATAAACTTATTTTATAAATTTTATCCTTTACCTTAATAATCTATCCCAATAACAAATTATTTTATCTTCGCTCCTTCAAACTATTAGAACAACTTTATACAATCACGAAGCATCTTTCAATTTTATTTAAAAAAAAAATACCAAACAGGCTCTAAGAAAATCAATATTGCTTTTCTGCTTTTTATTTTTTTGCACTAAATTTCTATTTATTTTTTTAATTCGGTCAATGGCTTCTTAGCCATGAAAACAGATTTATAACATTTTTGTGATAATTTCATTTTGCGTTCGTATTTCTTTTATCTTCAGTTTAAAAAGAAGGGGCCAATTGATAGTGTGCTTATTATGCTCGAATGCGGCAATTATGTTGCCATTGATGATGGTCGGGAGGAAAAATTTTAAGATACACTTGTCCCACCATTTATTTGGTGCAATGAGCCAATAAAAAGTGAAGAGAGAATGTGTAAATTATATGGAGAAAAAAAGGAAAAAAATAATATCTACGTGTAATTTTTTGAATGAAAGATGCACCTACGATGGATGTATCGAAATGCTCTAGGCCTGGAGAGATGGACCCTTCATCTCTTTTGGGAGAGGGTATTTAAGCCATCTACCACTTTCCCCTCAGAGCAAAGCAGTTTCCCAGTTTAAGAAAGTTTCCACTACTCTAAAAATTTAAAGTATGGAAAGAAATAAATGGAAACAGAAACCACACGTATTCTATGAGTATGATCCAATCTCATCATAGGCATAATTGTAAGACATTCGGGGAGCTGTTTGTGATGCGAATCTCTCTTCTTGTTGATGGTTTTCACTTTTCACGTTCACACACTCACCACTTAAAACTGTAAAAAAGTTTCAAGATTAAATTAAGTGGGGATCTTTTAACTTTAGGCGATTAGTGTGTAGAAAAGTAGAGTGAAGAATGTAGTATTATTATCCCCCACTCGTTGGGTCTTGTAATTACTCATTTTAGTGACAGACAGAAATCATTGTCGGCAAGTCTTGCTGACCTCTCACCAACTAAAAGCTCATTCTCTGACTGTGTCCGTATCTGTTTGTCTCTGTCTCTCTCTAGATGTTAGGCTTTTCACGTCACGGGTCCGATACTCTACATTTGTGGGTTAGAGGAAAAAAGGAAAAGAAATACAATGATTAGTATAAGACGACACACTCTTTATACAAGAATCTTCTTCTGTTCCAAGGCCTAATTATGTAACCTTTTTTAACTTTCCCTCTCCTTTATTAATTATTGTTGGTTTTACTTAATGGCTGACTTTATTTGTTTGTCCTTTTCTACCAGGAAGAGCACATTGATGCATGACAGAAAGAAGAACGCCATCGTGACCTGTGCTTCGATATGGGTACCCATACAGATACCATCCACTCCTCTATAATTTCAATCCCGGTCATAATTTGGCAACATGTTTTGTCATTTTAACCAAATTTGATGACATCGTAAGTTTCAAACTAATCACTCAGCCATTTCGCTATTCTCTTGAAGCAGTTAGAATTATGTGTCCGGTTAAATGCGGACTCTGAAGTGGAAGAAGTATGTGTCCCGTACTCCCCCCCCCCCCCCCCCACCCCCACACACACATATATATATAGGGTTTATCATCTATCATTTAACATGACCATAAAAATTTTCCTACACACACAACATTTTGTGAGGCCCGCAGCAAAAAAAAAAAAAAAAACTTCGGCACGCAAAACGAATCTCTATAACATAACACAATCACTTTTCCTACAACATAACTCTTATAAAACCCATATATATATATATAAAGGCTTAAATGTTTCCAGAGTGAATGTAGATAAGTTATCTACATTCGCTTCCAAAACGTCGTCGTTTTAGGTTGAAAAATTAAAAATTATAATAAAAAAGACTACTATAATCCTGAAATAAATTATAATTACAAAAATACCTTGATTTCCGTATCAAAATGACGTCGTCTTGGGTTCACTGTAGATAAGTTATCTACATTGACTGTAGAAAAAGCGAACTCATATATAAATAGGATAAAATTAAACTTATGTTGCATAAGATACTGTACCTCATATTGTGAAACAAAATCAAAGTGGGTTCTATCTTGATTTTTTTCTTTTTTTCTTTTTAGTGGGTTCCACCTTGATTTTGTTTCACAACATGAGATACACTGTCTTATGCAACATAAGATTAATTTTACCCATATATATATACAGGGATAAATATTTCTACAGCCACTTTAGATAAGGTTATTGATGTGCCTATGGCAAGTGTGGTTTTATGTGTTAAAATTGATAAGAATTGAGTCATAAAAGAGCAATTTGAATATGTATTTGCTAATTATATTGATTCTTTCTATGTCAATAATATTTCCCACCTATTGATTGTGTTTATACAGGAAAAAAGAATGAAAATTATAAATTATAAAAGCCTGTAGACGCGACTCCACACAGATGTATCACAGTACAAATTTCAGCAACATGGTGCGGACTGGCGCCACACTGACGTAGACCGGCGTCGAATTCTGGATTTCACAGCGGTACTTTGAAAGTGGCGCCAACTGGCGCCAAGTTAAAAGAAAGCAAAAAAAGGTCCAGAAGCATGGCGCCAAAATGGAGCCAAGTGGCGCCAAAAAGAAGACAAGGGTGGCGCCAAACTCAAGCAATGTAGCGCCATATTTTGTGCCTTTTGGTGGCGCCTAGTGGCGCCAAAATGGCGCCACTTTACGAGCAATCGGTCCCGACTTTGCAATATTGGGCAGAAGCGCGGCGCGAAGTAGCGCTAAACCGGCGCCAACTGGCACCGGGTTGCGGAAAAATTATTCCGTGTGTTGTCCTGGGGGTATTTTTGGAAGAAAGAAAAGAGGCTTATAAATAGGATCCTTATGACAGAATTAGTGATTCAGACCTATTCTACTGAGAGAGACGACAGTAGTGCTCCGAGAGGAATCTGAAGATCAAGTTTCTTTTCTTCTTCTTCGTTTAATTTATCAGGTTTATGTTTTTATTGAATATTGTATTTTTAGCCATTATTATGTTTGGCTAGTTTATTTTTTATTGTAGTTAGGGTCACAACCCTATGTGAACCCTTGTTACGACAGATTGGTTTATTTCTACTCGTTTATATAAAGTTCTTTATCTTTACCTTGTGTGCAATTTATATTCTCTTTATTAGAATTGATCAATCTGATAGTTGAGGATAGTTTGAGGGTTAGAACCCTAGATATGAATATTGGGGTTTTCATCCTGAAAAGGGGTAGGATAACGGTTCGTATGCATGCTAAGAATAGATGTGTATTGAATTGCAGATGTTTGAATTATCGTGTTCATTGCTTAATTCTTATGAGGGGTTGCTAAGGGATTAGGATTCCAATTGAGATTAAAGGGTTAAATTGCCAAGGGATTGGAATTTAACTAATTAATTTTAGATGATAATTATCTGAGTATTTATATAATTGAATATTTTTAAATCAATCCAAAGTAATAAGTGAGGATCATAAGGTGAGTGCGCTCTAGCTACAATGTTTTTCTCACATTTACAAAAAAATCAATTCTCAATTTATTGTTCTATTTCTCATAAACAAAATTACAAAAACAAGTCTTTATTATTAGTTCTCACTTTTACACAAATCGACAATATTTGTCAAAAACCATTTGAACTCATCCATTCTTGAAAGGAATATTAATTGATATTCGACCCAATCCCTGTGGAGACGGTACTCTACTTACTTTCTATATTACTTGTGCGATCGGTATACTTGTCGAAGAGCATCAAGTTTTTGGTGAATATTAATTGATTTTGTTTCACAACATGAGATACACTGTCTTATGCAACATAAGATTAATTTTACCCATATATATATACAGGTTCAGATATTTCTACAGCCACTTTAGATAAGGTTATCTACAGCTGTCCAAAAAACTACGTCGTTTTGATTAATGAAGGATATTTCGATAATTTTAGGTGAATTAATGAAGGGTATTTCTGTAATTTTTTTTATCATATATATTTTACTGAAATACACTTAATTAATTCACCTAAAATTACAGAAACACCGTTAATTAATCAAAATGACGTGATTTTTGGGTAGCTGTAGATAACCTTATATAAAGTGGTTGTAGAAATATTTATATATATATGTAGATATATATAAAAGGATTAATGTTTCTCATGTTATGAAAAATAATTTTATCTTCTACACATACATTAAAGTGTGTGGGGCTCCTATGAGACCACGTGGGGAGAAGAGAAAAAAAAAACACGAGCCTCACAAACTTTTATGATTGTAGGAGATAAAATTTATCTCCTACAACATGTAAAATATTATTCCCGTATATATTTATAGAGATTAACATCTCTTCAGTCACAAGAGATAAAGTTATCTCCTACAGTCCTAAAATGACGTAATTTTGGGGTTAAAGATTAAAAATAAAGGGAAGTATAGTAAAATTCATGTTTGAAATAGGGATGTAAAATTATCAAAATACCCTTTATTTTTAATCCTAAATCCCAAAACGATGTCGTTTTGGAGCTGCAAGGGATAAATTTATCTTCTGTGACTAGAGAAATGCTTTTTCTATGTATATATAGGGTTTTATAAGAGTTATGTTGTAGAAAAAGTGATTGTGTAATGTTATAGAGATTCGTTATGCGTGCCATAATTTCTTTTTTCTTCAAAAAGTGTGGGCCCCACAAAATATTATGTGTGTAGGAAAATTTGTTGTATCATGTTAAATGACAAATGCAAATCCCATATATATATATATATATATATATATATATATATATATATATATATATATATATAAAAACATATTTTCTCATTCAATAAGAAATAATTTTCGCATGTTGTCAGATATCGAAATCCGTACTATCTTTTTTTATTTTTTTTAACAACTGATAGGCCCTCACCACTTGTTGTGTCTATGGTAGGGGTGTAAATGAGTTGGGCTAAGCTAGACTTTGACTTAAATAGGCTAGACCTGTGTAAAAAAGTTGTGTCTGGCCTGGCCTGTTAGCCTGTGTATGCCCTAAATTACAAGTCTGGTCTGACCTAGATTTAAAAAATAAAAGCCTTGGTCTTGGCCTGTTTAAGCCTATTAAACATTCAACAGTTAAAAGAATAACTAAAATAATATTATTTTATTATTCAAAATTATTAAAATAATAATTTTATTTATTTTATTAGAAATAAATAATATAATATAGGCCGGCCTGTAGGCTTATAGGCTCGACATATACAAAAAGCATATGGCCTATTTTCTAAATAGGTTTTTTTAAAAGCATATGGCCTAGGACTCCAACGAGTAGCTCCAGCTCGATGCAAAGTACCAATTTGATTAAGACCAACTCCTGATTCGAGTTCATCAATAGCAATCATTCTTGCAATTTCACTTGCTTGGACAACCCTTAACTCATCATTACATTTACAAGAAGAAGTAACAATATTTATTATGAAGTTTAATTTTTCAAAAAATTGATGAACATCTTTTACCTCGTGAGATGCAGCAACAAAGGCAAGATGAAGGCGATGAGCTAAACAATTGACATCATAAGCAGTTGGACACTCAGTACAAATTAAAGCCTACAATCCATTCCATTCACCTCG